CTGCTGTATATCGGCTTCTCCCTCATTCTGCTGCTGAACGTTCTCACAGCCGTGATGATCGAGAGCACACAGATACGGTGCAAGGCTGACCGTGGTCTGGCAGTGCAGAGCGAAATCATGGAAAAGAGGGATTACCTCGCCACGCTGAGGAAGGTCTTCGACGAGATCGACGACGCGAAGAGCGGTGAGGTTTCGCAGGAGCAGTTTCGGAGGCGCATGAAGGACCCCGAGATTGGTGCCTACTTCAGCCAGCAGGGCGTTGACTCCGACCAGGTAAGCAAGCTTTTCCATCTCTTCGACAGCAACAAGTCTGGAACCCTAAATTCCGAGGAGCTCATTTTTTTTTTGTTTGTTTTCTGGTTATGTGGATCAGGAGGGTGAGGAGGACGAGGAGGAAGCTGAGGAGGAGAAGGACAATCAAACACAGCATCCAAGGAGTTCGTACTCGGGTGCCTGAAGGTGCGCGGCGAGGCCAAGAGGGTCGACGTTGCCGTGTTACACAGGGAGCTCACCTGGATCCACGAGGAGCTGGAGATCTTAGCTAAGAGACTGACCCAAAAGGGCACCAGTGCTCTCAGCAGCGTGAGCTCCAGAGAAGTGACTTCCACTCGAACTGAGGCGGGGGGCGACGGCGAGGAAGTTGTTGTTACGGACTGGTAAGCGAAGTGGTCGAAGAGGAAAATAAGGCATTTATCGTTTCATTCCTTTGACATCCATCCAGCTGCTCCTCTTGTGCCCAATTTCCGCCCAGGCATGCCTGAGAAGTTCCATGCCGAGGCGCAAGCGATCCGGGATAGGTTCGAGGATTCGGGGGGGATGTGGGGAAGGGCGTAGGCAGATATGGACGTCCAGAGCGTAATTGGATTGGGCATGCCAACCTTCATGGTACTGTTCTTTTGCACACCTTCGGAGATCTGGATTCAAGATCTGTTGGCACGTTGTTGACTTTTGCATTTTCTGATTCTCTCGCCGCCACGTCAGTCGTCGTCTGCGGAAGGAAGATGTGGACGACTATGCCTGATGTTTCCCCTGCACCAGACCTAGTTTCACAACGTTGTGTAGATATGTGCGTGTGGCAACGTACCAGTATCATCACGGAAACACTGCTGCGCATGTTTGATGATGCTTTGCCGATCGGCATGGGCGCGCAGGCAGGCGCAATTTGTGCGCACGAGGACCGCGATTCTGGGGACCACCCACAGCGAGACATGGCACGGGACAACCCACGGGACAATCCACGGTGCAAGCGCGAACAATCCACGGAACAACCACCCGGGCAACCGCGCGGCCGACGCGCGGATATTTTGCTTCTAAGGTTTGGCCCCATCCGCGCTGGCACGCCGTCGCTCTCGCGCAGCTCCTCCCCGCCCGCACGCGCGGCACGAGTCGAAACCAAAGCCGACTTGCAGGTTGGGGGCTTAAGTTCTCACCCCCCCCTACCTCTGACACAGAGCTGCCGCCTGTAGAAATCCCTGCTGCGCTGGCTGTCGCCTCATCAGACCTCCGGCGCATTGGCTTCTTCACGATGTGGGCCCCCAGGGCCCTTGACCCCATCTCCGGGGCCGGCTTCACATGGGACCCCCCCGTCCCCCCGGTGCCCGCAAGTCCTTCACGGCTGACCCCCCTCGCCGGGGGGTAGAGGGAGTCCCCAAGCAGCCCAGGGACCCCAAAGCCTCCATCTCGAAGGTCGGACCTCCATCGCTTGAGGACAAGAGTGTCTCCAGCCAGAGACCTAGAGGTTGGCACCAACACTAACGGTTGTTGCCGCCACCGAGGGAAGATGATCCCGATCTCGGTGATGGTGGTGATTTTCGGGCTTCCTAGGTGGCCAAAAGATTACCACCAGCACAGAAATTCTGGATCATCTTCCCCCCGGTGAGGGTACTCCCCCGTGTTGGTGTTGGTGCCCATTTCCAAGCCTCCACTCCAGAGTGGACGCAAGAAGCGTCCAGAACGGAGGCCAAGCCTCCCTTTTTAAATGTTTTCGATCCTATGGGAGTCTCGAGATGCTCGCGTTGACGGCGGTGGTTCGATTACGCCAGTAACGACGGTCATAATCTGGTCAAACTAGGTTGTTGCACCCCTCTTGAGGATTGTCCTCCCCAGACATTGTCCTCGACGATGATCCCAAGAAGCGCCTAAACACCTCTACAATGATGAATCAGACGACGACGACGACGACCACGACGACCACGACGACCACGACCACGACGACCACGAGGACCACGACGACAATTACGACGACGGGGGTGGCGACGGCGACGATGACGTCGTCGTCGCCCCTGCCGCGTGAGCGCAAGGAGCTCCTGGAAAGGCTGAAGGCGCTGGCCGGCTGCCAGGACCTGGAGCGCCTGAACGCCACCATCGAGGAATGCGAGGACCGCCGTCTCGAGTAACAGAAGTCGAAGTGCAAGAACGGCATAAACATTGTTTCTCTCAGGTCCTCGCGTATTTCTTGGATTGGCGCTGGGGCCCCCTGGCGGCGCCTCTGGCGCCGCTCCTGATCCGAGAAATCCGCGCGGACCTCCCAGAAATGATGTTTATGTTGTTCTTGTGGTTCCTCGAAGAAGGCAGCGTGAACTCACCAACCTGAGGCACACCCCTATCCCCATGACTGGCAGTGCCTCATCTCGGTGCAGATCTGAATGATCCCCTCAGTTGCCGAGGGCTCGCCCCTGAGGTTGTCATCGCACGAGCTTGTCGATCTCGAGGGCAGGGATGAGCCAGAGGCCGGCTGTAAGCAGCGATGCTCGAAGGTTCGCGCGGATCTCTTGCGCAGGGCTCGAGGACTGCAGTCGAATGGCCAGCGGCGAGGGCGGTCACGGCGGCCGCGGTCCTGAGAGCGGGACAGCGTTGAGGTAGAAGCAGGCGTGGGTGGCCCGATCACCACCCCATGCAAACCGCGAAAGAGGGCGGGGGAACTCTTCCTGCAGGCCCTCTCTGCCGCCTCACCCTGGTTCCCGCGGAACGAAACGCCCGACACGAAGCGCCCGAAATTGGAAACGCCCGAAACGAAGCGCCCGAAACGAAACGCCAGAAACAGAACGCCCGAAACTTGAAACGGCCAGAACGGGAAACGCCCGAAACGAAAACTGACAACACGGAATACGTCGGAAACGAAACGTCTGCTAGCTGGGACCAGTCGTGAGGCCATTGGGGAGGCCTCTGGGGGCTCTCTTGGGGTGGGGGCCTTGGGCCCTCTTGGGGCTATCTTCGAGGCCATCGAGCAAAGAAGGGGGAGTAACTCACTTCGGCCCTCCCGTCGGAGGCCGACAAATCGAATCCTGGGGCTGTCTTGGGGCGCTCCGGGGAAGCTCTAGGGCGCTCCTGGAGCTGTCTTAGAGCACGTGGGGGGCCCTGTCTGGGCTCCCTTGGGCCATCTTGGATCAAGCAGTGGCGAAACGTCCTGGCTCGCTTATAGGCACACCAAAGAATGTTCTAAAAACCTTGTGTGGTTTCCACGAAATATGCTTAGAACATGTCTGGCTGTGTTTTGATAATGCCAAAAACATTGGTGTTCCTTAGGTCTGGCAAGGGCTTGGGCGTTTCGGGGGCGTCCGTGGGAGGCTCCGTGACAGCTTGGAGTCATCTTGGGGCGGTTTGGAAGCCTCTTGGAGGCATTTTGGAAGCTGTCTCTGGGTTATCTTGTACGCTTTGGGGGGCCACCTGGGGCCATCCTGGGCCAGTTTGGACGCTCCAAAGCGTCGTCTTTTCCCCTCCAGACCCACAATTTGGGGGACAACGGCAGGGAGATAAGTTTGAAGAGGTCTGCCCACGTCGACACCGACACCAAGGACTTCCTCCTCTTCCTCCCCCCCTCCTTTCGTCCCACACAGGCTGACACGACCGACACCAAGGACCATCCTCCTTCCGTCCCTCCTCGTAATTTGTTTTGCGCATTCGTCTCGCATTGCATGTTGTCCAGACGCCAGATTCCCGAGACCACGGCCTCGCCCACCCGGTCTTGAGTAGGCCCAGACGCTGTCCGCAACGGTGGTCGCATCGCATCGCATCGCCCAAATTTCTTGGATTGGCGTTGACACCCCCTGTTGGCGCCTCTGGCGGCGCGCCCCAGCGCTCCGCGCGCCAGGGGAGGGCGTTCCAGCGCCGACCCAGGACATCCGCGCGAGCCTTCGAATGTTTGCGTTTATAGCAGGCTTCGAGCTCCTTTCCAGAGACAAAGGAGGACGTGGAGGAAGTGAGGAGGAGGGGGTCGAGATTCTGGGACGCTTCAATTGTAGGAGTCTACAGAAGCCTCTGAGGCTTCGGGGCATCTCCAACGACCTCGAGAGGCCTCCAGGGAGGACAGAGGAGGAGGAGGAGGAGGAGGAGGAGTAGGAGGAGGAGGAGCTGGAGGAGGAGGAGGAGGAGGAGGAGGAGGAGGAGGAGGAGAAGAGGGAGGAAGAGGAGGAGGAGGAGAGGAGGAGGAGGGAGGAGAGGAGGAGGAGGAGGAGGAGGAGGAGGAGGAAAGAGAGGACAGACGCGACGCAGGCGCGCAGACCTAGCCGTACCTGCATCATATCCTCATCGTTCTCCTCCCTGTCCCCCCTCGCCTTGGGAAGGGGAAGTGTGCAATGTCAGGACGCTGGCTGAAATTTCGGTCGATTCGGATCCATGTGAAATGCTGCGGTCGGCGTTTCGGGGAACGCGCCGTCCTCAGCCAGGTCTGGGGCCCCGAAGGGGTCCCAGACAAGGCCGGCGTCGGAGTTCGTCTGCCCGCGAACACGCGCACACAGCACCGCCTGGCGTCCACAGTGCCGTTCTGGGCCAGATCTTGGCACACACAGCCCCCTTTCCCAGCCTGGACAGGGGCCGACGCACCCCGCCGCCTGGGCTCAGAGTCGGCCCGAGGGGGCGCTGCGGCGGTTCCCGCGTTCCCTCTCCCTCTGCTTCCCCTCGTCCTCCCCTTGTTTCTCCTCGCCCTCCTTCCCTGCTGCCTGCACACCGCCCCCGTGGTTGTGTTCTCTCCTCGGCCTGTGCCAGGCCTTCGGCATGCGCCCGAGCGACATGCAGGCGACACTGGCGGAGAGGAACAAGCTCGCCGGGCTGCTCTCCCGGCTAAAGGAGCGGGAGCGGTAGGAGTATCTAGGCCTCGCGCCGGAGTAGATGGGGTCGGAGTAGATGGGGTCAGAGGATCGCGCCGCATCGCCGATGCATCGGCGATGCGGCTCGATGTGGAGCCCGATTTTCTCCACGCCGGAGTCGCCAATGCATCGCCGGGCATCGCCGATGCATCGACGATGCACCGACGATGTGGCAAGACCCTCCCGCTCCATCCACTCGGACCCCCCGTCCAGGAGGTCTCGAGCGTAGGGGGAGGAGAAACCTCTCGCCTCGACTGCTTGCAGCAAGGTAGGGGGGGGGCGCCTTCACCGCGTTTCGGGCCCCAGGGCCCTCACGGAACGAGCCAGCTGTGGAAAGCCACACCAGGGTTGGGGCCGAGGAGTCGGGTCGTGATGTGTCGACGGCTTGTTCTGCGATGCTCGATTTCGGGGGAAGGGAACGAAGATCATTGTACTTCGTCTCGTTGCAGAAAGGCACGGCGCAGCGATGCTACGCCCACATGCCACATAACAGCGCATGCCCACTGGGAACAACTCCCAAAGACCTTGAGCAGATGACCGCGAATGTCATGGGAGTTCCAGTCGGCACGTCCGCGCACGGGCTAATCCGAGAAAGCCATTGGAAAGAGGGACGAAGGAAATGTGGACGGGAATTGGGGAGGCTGGGATGGCAGGACGGGCCCGGGCGCACAACATACCCCAGACACTTTCAGAAAAAGCTCCCCCCGCGGGCTCCTGAGAAGCCATGATTTTGCTCCCAGATATCTGCATCACCCGTTGGCTGTGTCATTGTTTGCTCCCTCTCTCTCGCTCTCTCCCTCTCTGCATCTCGGCATCTCTCTCTCTCTCTCTGTCTTTCTGTCTATTGGTCACTTGTTTGCGAGACCAGTGGGTGGATCGCTACGATTGAACTGCTATTGCGCTACGGGGTGCAGCTCTCTGGGCGCAGCTTCTGGATTGCAGCGCATGAGATGCAACCTGTGGGGGGCTGCGACCAATGGGGAGCAGCCGATGGGGCACACCCTGAAGGGTGTAAGTATTTTCGGCGCAGCTTGAAGTCGTCACTCCACTGCTCGTACAAGCACCCCACCTTCCGCCTGCAACCTGCTCAGCAAAACCCATTCGGCCACGACTGCGGCTCCCCAGCGAGTCTCTGCTGCCGCACTTGCGCGCGCACGTTCGCGCGCAGATCAGCTTGCTTGTTTGGCACAACCGATGCTGCCGCGATGGCGCTTACCGATGGGAGTTCCCCAGCGCGTCTCAAAGGCCGAGCTGTCGTGCGGGAATTTCGGTGCGGGTTGGTGACTCGGGCGGGCACGATTTCATGATGAAGTTGGCAACGGCGGCAACGGTGATAATGATGATGCTGATGCTGACGATGATGCTGATGATGACGATGATGATGCTGATGCTGATGATTGGGACGGTGGTGGCGATGACGACGACGACGATGACGGCGAAGCCAATAGCACTGATGAGGGTGATGAGGACTTGCGCGCGCAGACATTCAAGAAATCTGGCAGGATTTTCGTTGAACAGCAGGTGGTCGCCATAGGTGTTTGAATAACTTTGTCTTGAAACTCTTCAAGAACCATTGGTTTTGGAAGGGTTTCGACACGAGCGCGTAGTGGATCACGCAAGTGGCTAGCATGGTCTCGTGTGAATCGGGTTTGTTCACATGGCGCATGTCGGACCAACGCGGGAATACCGCGCGGTGAGATTAGAACGCGCTTTTCGCGCGATGTTGTTACGTTCATAGGGTTTTCTCATGATTTCAACATGTGTGCAAGGGCCGAGCATGCGCAACGCTTTGATTGAACAGGCCATGTGAAGTTTTCTGAGTTGTTGTTAACATGCGATGTGTTTGGTATGATTTCGGCATGTGTGCGTGTGACCCGTGTGGTATATGGTTGCATGAGGTTGCTGAGCAATGATCGTTAGCGATAAACTCAACGCGCGCACATTTGTACGATTTGACAGTGGAAATGTGGTTGTCGACACTGGTTTGGCTGGAAAGGTAAGTATTATTCCACATGGAAAACGAACGATGAGGCAGAACCATGTGCAAATTGTATTGCCCCAGGGGGAAAACGGATAGGTCAGGGTTCGGGAGAATGGTATAGTTTCCCAAACAGTGCTTGCATTTAGGGGTTCTCCCTTCTGAAATAAGGAACTGGGGGGGGGCTATGCTGTCGCCGTCGCCGCCTCGTCGCCGCCTCGTCGCCGCCCGTCGTCTGGGCCTGCTTGTCGGTCTGGCGGCTATGTTATCGCCGTCGGCGCCTCATCGCCGCCCGTCGTCTGTGGGAGGGGGTGTCGGTCTGGCGGCTCTGTTGTCGTCGCCGCCCCGTCGCCGCGTCGCCGCCCGTCGTCTGGGGGGTTGTCGGTCTGGCGGCTCTGTTGTCGCCGTCGCCGCCCCGTCGCCGCCTCGTCTCCGCCCGTCTTCTGGGCTTGATTGCCGGTCTGGCGGCTATGCTGTCATCGTGGCCGCCCCGTCGCCGCCTCGTCGCGATTTTGCGCTGCCATGCATTGTTTTGCATGGTTTTGCATTGTTTTGCTTGTCTTTGTGTTCCTGTGTATTGCTTTTCATGTTTTTGCATTGCTTCGCATTGCGGCGACATTGCTTCGAATTGCCCCGCATGGTCCTAATTGTGTGAATGGCTGTGCGCTGCATTACTCTGCGGTATTTAGCATTGTTTTGAAATGCATTGTTTTGCTCTGCTACGCATTATTTGTTCACCAATCATGCTTTCACTTACGGATTCTTGCTTCTGTTCTACGGAACTGGGCCTGATTGTCAGTCTGCCCGCTATGTTGTCGCCATTGCCGCCTCGTCGCCACCCGTCGTCTGGGCCTGACCGCTGGTCAGGCGGCTTTCTTGTCGCCGTCGCCGCCCCGTCGCCGCCTCGTCGCCGCCCGTCGTCTGGGCCTGCGTTGCTTCGCGCTGTTTTTCGTTACTATGCCATGTTGCGCATTGCTTTGCATTGTTTTGCATTGTTTCGCGTTGCATTTCATTAGTGTGCCGTGCTTTTCGCTGTTTTGCTTTACGTGGGTTTGCAATAGCGTAGCCGTGCTTAGCATCGGTTTGCTGTGCTTGCATAGATTGCACTACAACTGCCCAACATAGATTGCACCAGATAAATTCTCCTTTCGACAAAAATGGAGGTAGGTTCTACCGCCCTCCCCCCCCTTCCGGGGTTAAGTATTTAAATTTTCGTATTGCAATTTACATATAATTCTGCCCCATCGCCCATCCGAACTGCGAATTCATTTTATCCCACGCAAGCCGGTATCGCCCCACCCCCATTATCCTGTGCAAAAAACTATGCGCGCGCATTCGTTTATCACAAATCAAAAGTGTTCAAGAATCCCTTGCAACAAAGAAAAACGATTCAAAGTGCACACGCGCGAGCAGTCGCGCGCGCATGCCGAAATCCTTCAAAAACCTTGGGTTTCTTAAGGATGTCAAAATCGTGAGTCCAAAACACATATACAACCAAAGGGTTTCGCAACACGGATATAAACCTAAAAAAACGTGCGCGCGCGTTCTTGCGAGCGAATTCGTAAGAAAACCATGGTTTTTTCAACATTTCCAGAAAATGCTGCCAAACGGGCTTGGCGCGCGTGTCTGAATCGTTCGAGCGCCCTTGCGCGCGTGCCGTCGCGAGAATCCCTCGCAAAAAATATGACGAACTGCACACGCGCGCGTCGTCGCGCGCGCATGCCGGAATCCTTCAAACATTCTCGGTTTCGGAAGGATTTTAAATCGAGTGTCCACATAGCATACAATTACATGAGGTTTCGCAACACGGATTCGCTCTTGCGAATTCTTAAGACAACAATTTTTCTATATTTTCATACAGTGCTACCAAACGGGCTTGGCGCGCGCGCGTGTCGAAATCGTTCGAACGCCCTTGCGCGCGTGCTGGGGTGGCACGATCTGTGTCAAATAATTCCATGCGAGCCACTCTCGCGCGTCTGCCGCGCGCGCATTTCGGATTCTTTCCAAAACCTTCATCACGACGCGAAGACGCCGTCATCGTCGCCGGCGCGATCGGCATCGGCGACGTCACTGGCCGTGCCGTCGTCGCAGCCAGCATTGTCACCAACATCGTGACTATCATCGTCGTGTCTAGACTAGTCAGTGTTGCCATGATACCGCGCCCGCCCAAGCCGCCGACAAGCACTCAAGTGCCCGCTGGGATTTGCCGAGCGGTCAGCACCACTGCGGCCGCGTCGGTCGAGCCGAACTACCTTGCCGCTGCGCGCGCGCATGCGCGGGCTGGCGCGGCCGCATAGATGCACCAGCCAGCGCCAAGCCCTCATCGCAATCGCCGCCGCATGAGGTTTGCAAACCAAGTTGCGGGTGGGTGGGTGGGATGTTTGCACGAGCAGTGGAATGAACAACGCATTGCGAACAGAACTGGAATTCTCCTTTCTAAAAGAAGAATAGACTCTACCCCCCCGGAGTTAACGGTTCACCTTTCCGTATTGCAATTTGAATATGATTTTGCCCCATCGCCTATTTTAAATACGCATTCGTAGTATCCCAGCCAGGCCAGTATCGACCCCCCCCCCCCGCCATCTTCTGCAACAGATACTATGTGCGCGCATTCGTTTATCAAACATCAAAAGTGTTCAAACATATTTTGGGGAAAAAGAGCCATTCAAAGTGCACACGCGCGCGTCGTCGCGCGCGCATGCCGACATCCTTCAAAAACCTTCTTGGTATCCGAAGGATGTCAAAATCGAGTTCCCAGCAAAAACATGCAAAACCACAGGGTTTCGCAACACTGATTTTCTGAACAAGCTTACACGCGCGCTCTTGCGAAATCTCACGAAACCCATATGTTTGTTCAACAGGTTCAATACACATACAACCAAGCGGGCTTCGCGCGCGCATGTCGAAATCGTTCGATCGCCCTTGCGCGCGTGCCGTCGCTAGAATCCTCTGCAAAAGCTGGGACGAAGTGCGCGCGCGCGTCGTCGCGCGCGCATGCCGAAAACCTTCAAAAACCATC